GTTTTGCATTAGATGCGGTAGATTGAATAGCTATTAAAGAAAAAAAATGATGAAATTAAGTATATAGTGATCTGTATGAAATGTTAAAAGCCTTTTCGAAACTACTGCAAATAATTTTTTTTTTTAATTAAACGATATATGTATATATACTGTTTAGAGAAGCCGAAAACAATTTTTAATTTTTAATTTTACATTTTTAATCTTAATTGGTTTTTGTATAACGTTTAATTTGAAAAGAAAATTTCGGAATTGAAATAATTTGCAATATCAAGTGATGAACAATTCAAAATCTAATTTCAAAAAACAAATTTTTTTAAAAAGAGAAAATTTAAAAAGAGATTCATATTGAATATAAAACGTTAATTTTTCATTTAACATCAACTTATTCGTTTCCTGAGTTCTTTGAATAATATTTCGATTTTTATCGTTAACGGCCTGTTATCTCTGGTTAATGAATATTGATAGATGCGATAAGAAAATTTGAAGAAGTATTATTGGCAAGGCACAACTCGACTTTGATAAATCGAAGGTGGTGCTCGATATATACGAAGTATAGATATGCACCTTTGTTCGTGCACGAATAATACGTTTTGCTACAAGATTTTTGATTTGTTTTTCAAGGAACAGGAATATAATCTTGATCGATAGCGTGATAATTTGCACTTTGTTTACGATTTCTTGTGTACGCAAACGGAATGAAATTCTTGTAAACTGATTACGATTCATTATATTTTATAAATTTTCCGTTTTTCTTTTTTTTTTGTCGTAAAATTTGCGATTTGTTACGTACTTATTTACGTATTGATATCGTAAACTTGATTTGTTTTGGGAAAAAAAAAAAGGCTCGTCGATAAAACTCTTGAATACGTGCCATTTGAAATTTTAACTTACCCACTCGAATTATTATTATTATTATTATTATTTATTATTATAAAAAATATTTCAAATAGAACTTAACATTATTTGAAAATACGACTTGATGTAATTTTTTTTTTATGAAAAAGATAATTCTTTTTCATTGAAAAAAAAAATGTATCAGGAGATCGACATTTGTTGTATACTGTTTTTTAATTCCATTCGATAACTTTTCATTTTTTCCACTTTCCTAAATTTTTTTTTATATATTTTCTAATAATATTCTAATGATGAATAGTTCTAAACATGTAGGAATATAATGATTCTAAATTTGGAATTCATTGGTTCAGAAATTATGAACATTGAAAGTTTGGCGAAGTGGAAGGGATAACGATAGGCAAGTTAAAAATGCAAGGCTAAAAATTCCAGTTAGAGACATTACGTATCGTACCTATTCAGAAGCTTACCTATCTCTGTTCGAAAGAAGGAAGGGCTAAAAATTCTTTGGCCGGTTGTCATCAGGTCTATGAACTTTAATCTCGAAATATAAAAAGAAAATACTTAGGAAGGCTATAAAAGCGTCTATAAAAAGATGCCGTAAACGGTAGATAAATCGTTATCATCGGTTAACCGTTTTACCATCGAGTCATCCGAGTAAAGTTCGTCCCTTCGAATCTTGTGTAAAGAAATAGAACGCGACAGGAAAGATAAATTCCTATTCCTGTATTTCCGTGATGTGGAAATTCATTTTTATTCAACTATCGATTTGCAAAGTATAAATAGCGGTTTATACATCTATTTATAAATTTACTTCAATCAAAATGGAAAATTTTTTTGAATAATGCATGATGCGGTATGTAATCAAGAATAGGAGGAATTTCATAGATTTACAAGTCACTATTTTTCTTTTTTTAACTGATTAGTTATTTTTATCGTTTAATGTATTTATTCATTCATATGCATTTATTCATTTTTCATTTAAAAAATAGTATCAACTGATTTCACAACATTTACAACTGTGCATTTCATTTTTGCTATGCTCTTTTTTTTTTTTTTCCTAAAATTTTATTTTATTCGATTATATATAGATCTGTCGAAACAATTGGATCGATATCCAATCACAAATCTATCGAAACATCGGTAACCAATCGATGTATCGTTACCTTACATTTGGCTAACTTCATCGTGGTCCTTATCCAATCACAGTTCTATCAAAATATTGACATCCAATTGATGTATCGTTACTTTACATTTGGCTAACTTCATCGTGCTCCTTATCGAATCATAGTTCTATCGAAACATTGACATTTAATCGATATATCGTTATTTTTTTTACAAACTTTATCATGATTCTTATCCAATCTACAGATCTATCGAAACATTGACATACAATCGATATATCGTTATACCTTTTGACTAATTTTATCGTAATCCTCCTTTAATCCTATATCGAAACATTGATATCGAATCGATATATCGTTATTCTACATTTGACTAATTTCATAATCTAAATTCCGTAGTATCTGCAGATTTGAGCAACAGTGAGACCTTTGTGCTTCATACACGATCAGTGAAATTTAATAGTTGAAGTTATTTTGATAATTTATCGTTTAAAATGTAATAATAATCGCAAATAATGGCAAACGGTCGAGGTTATATGAAAAGCGAATTAATATAATAACTACTTGAATAAATGTTATTCAAGCATTATTTAAAGTAATTTTATTCGAAATTTTTAACTAGTTACTTTTCCAACGCGTTGCTTAATTCTAATCGTGGATAACGTGAAATAATCTAAGTTAAGTTAAGTTAGGTTAGATTAGGTTAAGTTTGCAATATTTGATTTTAATTCGAGGAAAAGTAATACGCTCGGTGAAGTAGCTTATGTTTGAATCTAATTTTGAAAAAGAGATGGTTGATACATTCATACGTG